GGGTCGACCGTCAGGGGGCATCATGCCCCTCCAATGAAGCTCCGCAGCATGTTGAGCTGCGAGAGGCCAATCTCTTGCTTCCGCACCAGAAGTGATCAGTAGCTGTCTGGCTCTCCGTTTGAAGAACTTCACGGCACATTCGGCCGTTCCATTGGCCGCTGGTTCCGATCCACTGGTACGGGAGTGGAACACTCCCTTGTCTATGGTCCACCTTCTGAACGATCTTGCTCTAAACTCGCGTGCTCTGTCAGAGTGTATCTGCATAATCGGCAAATGCGCCTTCCGAAGCTTGTTGTACATGGCCTGCGCCGCTTCCAGCACGTCGTGTGTGTGGCGGCTTCGCATAGGCACCATCAGGTAAATTGTGGCCAACTCCACCTTGGTAGTGAGCTCCTCGATGCGCTTGTCGATGGGGTCCTCCGGGTCCTTGACTTCGCCTTCCGCAATCGGTAGTGGAAGAGGTAGATCAGGTTCAAACTCCTCCTCGGGGATGAACATGTCCTCGGGCTCAGAGGGGACGTAGTCCGCAAGATCATCCTCCTCAGCTTCCAGGGGGTCATCTTTTTCAAGTTTGTCCATTCCACCCTCTTCTCGGGGAAGTTCTCCTTCAGTCAACAAGGACTTAGGAATCCGATAGGCTCCCACAAGCATGTACTTCAACTTGTTCTCGTCAACCAATCCCATTGACCGTCCTTTGCTCTTGAGTGGTCCAGCGACATCCAACGCCAACGTGAAGGGCTGTGGGCGATCCACTCGTCGATGCGCCCGGCCCGTGCCCGCAGCTTGCAGGCAGGTGGCGCAGTCGCGCCGGTACGGGATATGCCCGTTCTTCAAGTGGTTGGCCCACATCAGTCGATCCGCTGCCGTGAGCTTCGCCGCCTTTGGCCAAAGTAGTCGGGACTCCAGCACCCCTGCAAGAGCGTGACGGAGGCGTAGTTGATGTAGCTCAGGAGGTAGAGGTTGATGGGCCTCTCCGGAAACCGCCATTCCCCGGAGAGTCCTCATTTCGTTCATGTCGGTGAAGCCAATCCACTCCTTGCCATCACTTGTAGCCCCCAGCGGAACTTCATACATTCCCATAACCACTTGAAGGCTCGTCGTGAGGTTGAGGGCAAGGTCCTCGTCAGTGGCAGTGGTCGTGAGAAATCCTCCTCGGAGAACACCACACCCAAACGTCTTTGCCATGACATAGATCCAGGTCTGGAAAGCCAGGGACCGAGGTTGAACAGGCTCATCCGTGCCCACTACAGACACCACTCGCCCAGCTGCCACCGCCCAGGTGAGGAGCTTCAGGACCTCCACGTTCTGCTCCATCTCATAGTCCACCCGAAGCACCGTGGCGTCGCCGTAGCTGCTGCTCATGATCGGGTCCTTGCGACTCTTGTCCCTAGTGAAGGCCACAATCCAGGAGTTGGATGAGAACAGCCGCTTTCGCACCCGTCGTGGTAGTGGTAGCGCACGTTTCATGGAAGACCATACATCATATTTCTTCGG